CCATCCATCCATCCATCCATCCATCCATCCATCCATCCATCCATCCATCCATCCATCCATCCATCCATCCATCCATCCATCCATCCATCCATCCATCCATTCATCCATCCATCCATCCATCCATCCATCCATCCATCCATCCATCCATCCATCCATCCATCCATCCATCCATCCATCCATCCATCCATCCATCCATCCATCCATCCATCCATCATTGTGTACAATCAAAATTAGAAGTATACCATAAAATTGTGTTCCATTGTTTAATTTGATCTCTACCCCTTTTGATTGTCGTCTGCTAGATGATTAGGTGGTGTGAATTCCAATTCACCTCAAGGTAAGAAATATGATGCCAGTGTGTGGGCCAGTGCTTTCGAGAGTTGGCCTGGTGCCAGCTCTCACCCCCTAATATCTAAATGTTGCTAATGATTATCAATGTATCTGTATTTTGTCAGTCAATAATATATTCCACTTTATTTCTCATGTCCAAAAACTAAAATCCTGTTTCTTCAATAAAACAGAGAAAATATAACACATGAATTATTCAGTTAAACTTGAATTCATTTACAATTCAAATCCACTAATCTTTATATTTATTTCACTTTATTGATGATGATTTTCTTCATATCTCAATTTTTCATTCATTCATTCATTCATTCATTCATTCAATCTCTAATGACTGGAGGATAATGTACTACATTTATTTCATTGGCTGGTTACAGTCAGTCAGTTATCTATTTGACATCCTTCAACTTTCTATTGAACTCTTCCATACATACATACTGTCTGTCAATATCATACTGTATATTTATGACTGGAAGATCTTATGTCTAAAATTAGGGGTCTTACTGTGCCAGTCAAATTATAGTTCAGCTTGCATTCATTCATCCATCCCTTCTTCCTTCCCTTCATCCCTAATGACTATGAGTGTAATAATAATTATATTTACATCTAGGTTATAAAATGAAATATTTACATTTTCCTAAAATAATCCCAAATTTACATTTTTCACAAATTGATGAAAATTTTGGCATAGAATTAACACAAAATCTTGAATTTAGTTTTTAAAATAAAGAATCTATTGACTAACAAATTGAAAACAATTTTTTGAAAATAATGATTTCATCAAGTCAGGTTAATATATTGTCCCTTATTCTCTAAGGTTCTTCAAGATTATACATGATGAATTTTTACAACAAAATTCAAGATTTAAACATTAAAAACTTCTTGATTTTAACAAATTAGGAAGATGAATTATCAAATTCTTGTGACCATTTTATTAAGTAAAATTCAAAATGAACTTGATTTCAATACAAAATAATTTAAAATTCCAAAAATATTAATCCATATTTCGAATCATTCTGGTTGTTAAAAAAGATTTTGCATTGAAAAATTGTGAATTTGAAATAAAACTTGTGAAAAAAAGAAGCCAGTCTCAAAAAAATCTTATAAAAAAAATTGTTGTAAGTGTAAAATTGTTCAAATAGAACACCTACAATAAAAATGATTGTAAGATTTCTTCAGAAACAGGCGTGATATTAAACTAAAGAAATATCTTATAATTATCTTAACTTCATGATTTTATCATCTCTGATTGGCTAAATCAAACAACTTAATTTAAAATATCAACCAATCAGAAACATTAATTTCATTTAGTTAAGATGTTTCTAGTAAAAATCCCAAAATATGAGATTTATCCATTATACTTTGGTGCAAAATATTATAATTCCGTAAAACACTAATCTTTGGTAAAACTGAATTAAAACTGAATTAAATACTAGATTGTTTTAGTTTAGACATTGAAGATGTAGTTCCATCTGTAAAAAAAATTCAGTTTGTGTCCATATTTTTGTAACATTGTCATTAATGCAACACTACAAAACAATGGAAAATAAAATAAAAATAGTTAATTAGCAGACAACCCATTTTCTTTGACAACCATTTTGTTTTGTGATCACATGATAAATTCATCCAATCACTGTACAATATCAATCTGTTATAAAACATGAATATTCATGAGTATTATACTCTTCACTCATTGGTTAAATTACATCACATGATCCATATTAACCAATCAACACACAGTAATTTTTTTTTACATCATCGAATGATTAAATCTAAAGTTTCTTTTAAAAATTAGGTGATCACAATTTTTGAAGGTCCTGCTAAAAACAGCTAACTGCAAAAATAATTTACAACATATTCGATTTGTGGACGACTCTTTCTGATTTTTGTATTTTTCTATCAAAATTCCTTCACATTAACTCTCACGCAATCATCACGGGTCTGAATTTTCACTTTTTATTCAAGTTTTTAAAAATTCTGCAACCCTATTTTTGCAATTGTCACTAAAATTCTGTTTCAATTCATAATATTTCTCCAACCAGTAACCCGTGTAAATTCTATTCAATATTTGACTAATTGTCTATCAGAACTACTAGTAAAACTTTGGCAACCATTTTGATTCAGTTTTTGGCTTCTACTAGTTTCTAGAGTATTGTAAAAAATTAAACCATTTATAAAATCACACCCACGTACCAGTCTTCCTCAGTTTATCGAGGGCGTATTTTCTCATACATAAATCGATTTCCTTTTTCTACATATTCCCCGTTAACTAAATCAAATGTCTGATGTTTTATAAAGTGAAATTGTTGTAATGCAAATTCGTAAAATTCATTTTCCATGGCCCAGATTTTTGAATCATGGATTTTTTCAATAGTTTCTGGTAGTGGCGTGACTTTTTTGGTTGTTTTCCTCAGATGAGACTTTCGACCTGCAAAAATATAACAAAAATTAAACATAGTAGAGTTACATTTTATCTTTTTGAACAAGGTTGGATGTTTAAATGACAATGCCAAGCAGTGGGCAGTGAGGGAAATAATATGATGACAGCAGTCTGAGTACATTCTTTATCAATTTCCAAAAGGCTTCATTGTCAGAAAAGCGCATCCAAGATAAAGCAAGCATGACAATTAATCAAAATAGACTCCTGGTCAAATTTCTTTAAAAAATTAATTTTTAGTTCGTCCGTTTGAAAAAATCCAAGCACCTGAAACATTTAACAAATTCAACCACATTCAGTGTATTAAAGTAAGTGAGAAAACCATCCCCACCTGATTTATAAAGCAAGTGAGAAAACCTTCCCTACCTGATTTATAAAGTAAGTGAGAAAACCTTCCCTACCTGATTTATAAAGTAAGTGAGAAAACCTTCCCTACCTGATTTATAAAGTAAGTGAGAAAACCTTCCCTACCTGATTTATAAAGTAAGTGAGAAAACCTTCCCTACCTGAATTATAAAGTAAGTGAGAAAAGCTTCCCTACCTGAATTATAAAGTAAGTGAGAAAACCTTCCCTACCTGAATTATAAAGTAAGTGAGAAAACCTTCCCTACCTGAATTATAAAGTAAGTGAGAAAACCTTCCCTACCTGATTTATAAAGTAAGTGAGAAAACCTTCCCTACCTGAATTATAAAGTAAGTGAGAAAACCTTCCCTACCTGAATTATAAAGTAAGTGAGAAAACCTTCCCTACCTGAATTATAAAGTAAGTGAGAAAACCTTCCCTACCTGAATTATAAAGTAAGTGAGAAAACCTTCCCTACCTGAATTATAAAGTAAGTGAGAAAACCTTCCCTACCTGAATTATAAAGTAAGTGAGAAAACCTTCCCTACCTGAATTATAAAGTAAGCCTGATTTATAAAGCAAGTGAGAAAACCTTCCCTACCTGAATTATAAAGTAAGTGAGAAAACCATCCCCACCTGATTTATAAAGCAAGTGAGAAAACCATCCCCACCTGAATTATAAAGCAAGTGAGAAAACCTTCCCTACCTGAATTATAAAGCAAGTGAGAAAACCTTCCCTACCTGATTTATAAAGTAAGTGAGAAAACCTTCCCTACCTGAATTATAAAGCAAGTGAGAAAACCTTCCCTACCTGAATTATAAAGTAAGTGAGAAAACCTTCCCTACCTGATTTATAAAGTAAGTGAGAAAACCTTCCCTACCTGAATAATAAAGTAAGTGAGAAAACCTTCCCTACCTGAATTATAAAGTAAGTGAGAAAACCTTCCCTACCTGAATTATAAAGTTGAACAGCTCCTTTAAAAAAGCGAGGTAAGGTGGCCTCTAATACAGCGATAAAATCTCCTAATTCTTCTGTGACCCCAACTACTAAATAATGGTGAACTAAATTCTGTTTGGCCTGTTCTAACGCCCATTGACTTCCTGGATTCCTGTAAACAGACACACAAACTTAATAATTATTACTTATAATAACAGTAGTATTACATATATCAACATTTACAGTAGGGTCTAATTATTATAACCATTCTAGTTGTGTGGACTCTCTGAAAGGGATGCCAAGTTGACAAACCTAAATACCAAATAAACATTATTAGCTATGTGGACTCTCTGAAAGGGATGCCAAGTTGACAAACCTATATACCAAATAAACATTATTAGCTATGTGGACTCTCTGAAAGGGATGCCAAGTTGACAAACCTAAATACCACATAAACATTATTAGCTATGTGGACTCTCTGAAAGGGATGCCAAGTTGACAAACCTATATACCAAATAAACATTATTAGCTATGTGGACTCTCTGAAAGGGATGCTGTTATGTATTTGGGGTTACTTGAATGTAAAATGAGTTCTTGTTTTGTTAATCATTTTAATGGAGATGAAAAATCATAATAATATTAACCAATAAGAATATAGAAGTCTTTTCGTACATATTGGACGTTTCGTACATAATATTATAATGCCTTGCCTAGATCGTTACGTAACATAACTAAAATATAACAGATGCCATGTTATCTCTTTCTTATTCTATTCAGTAAACTATTTGAAAGATTTACCAAGTCACAATCTACAGGCAATTCTATTTTCACAGTAAAAAGAGTCCTAATTTTCTTAATAAAATACTACAAAGGCAATAAATAGAGTATTATATCTTGATTTTAGCTATAAAAATAGGGAAGATGTTATTTGTACATGAGATAATCAATGAAGTTTTATTGGTATGTACTCAATATTACTATAATTATATTATATTACAAGGGGAATAACTCTTTACGTGTGATTAAAAGTCGTAAAGTTTATTTGATGTGGGTATAAAATGGCAATGAAAATTAGAAACTAGATATCAACTATTTAATGGTGGAAAAATGAGAATATAGTTCAATCAGAAATAATAATAGGAGAGATGAAAAATTCTTTACTCAAATGACTGGGGCCAAGACATGAGTCACATAGATAATCCCAGTATCCTTTTCAGAGAGTCCACATAGTTAATAATGTTTATCAGATATATACGTTTTTGAACTCAGCATCCCTTTCAGAGAGTCCACATAGCTAATAATTCAAGTTTTCAAGGTTGAAAGAAAACGAAGTCAGATTATTCTTGCAAATGTAAAACCTGGCCCCCTCTGTATTTAAAATAAACCTGGCCCCCTCTGTATTTAAAATAAACCTGGCCCCCCTCTGTATTTAAAATAAACCAAACCCCCTCTGTATTTAAAATAAACCTGGCCCCTCTGTGTTTCAAATAAACCTGGCCCCCTCTGTATTTAAAATAAACCTGGCCCCCTCTGTATTTAAAATAAACCTGGCCCCCTCTGTATTTAAAATAAACCAAACCCCCTCTGTATTTAAAATAAACCTGGCCCCTCTGTGTTTCAAATAAACCTGGCCCCCTCTGTATTTAAAATAAACATGGCCCCCTCTGTATTTAAAATAAACCTGGCCCCCTCTGTATTCAACATAAACCTGGCCCCCTCTGTATTTAAAATAAACCTGGCCCCTCTGTATTCAAAATAAACCTGGCCCCTCTGTGTTTCAAATAAACCTGGCCCCTCTGTATTTAAAATAAACCTGGCACCCTCTGTATTTAAAATAAACCTGGCCCCCTCTGTATTTAAAATGAACCTGGCCCCCTCTGTATTTAAAATAAACCTGGCCCCCTCTGTATTTAAAATAAACCTGGCCCCCTCTGTATTTAAAATAAACCTGGCCCCTCTGTATTCAAAATAAACCTGGCCCCTCTGTGTTTCAAATAAACCAAACCCCTTCTGTATTTAAAATAAACCTGGCCCCCTCTGTATTTAAAATAAACCTGGCCCCCTCTGTATTTAAAATAAACCTAGCCCCCTCTGTATTCAAAATAAACCTGGCCCCCTCTGTATTTAAAATAAACCTTGCCCCCTCTATTAAAATAAACCTGGCCCCCTCTGTATTTAAAATAAACCTGGCCCCCTCTGTATTTAAAATAAACCTGGCCCCTCTGTATTTAAAATAAACTGGCCCCTCTGTATTTAAAATAAACCTGGCCCCCTCTGCATTTAAAATAAACCTGGCCCCCTCTGTATTTAAAATAAACACAACCTACCAACACTCTGACCAATGACCACAGAAAAACGGAATCTGCATCCATAAATTTTCAGGACTGCAATCTTCTCCATCTCGTTTCACACAATCATCAAACGTCTAAAAATATAAAAATATAAATTAGGTGAAGTCCCTATAAAACCTGAATGATATTAAAAACCTACAATATCTGAAATAAATAGAAAGTTATTTTTCTAACATTTATGTGACTAAAACTGCTTTACTTTAACCCTTAATTTTATTGAGAAATAAAAACTAAATAGAAGGTTTACACCCAGCAAAATGCATTTTAAATTTGAGGAAGATGTGATGAGAAAATGGCTGGAAGTTCTAATTAACCTGGTAATAAAATTAACACAAATAACAATTACCATTGATTTTCTATCAAGGGAGATAATTGTCATTACAACTTGATTATCCAGTTTTCACTGCGGGTCATCATGTTTACTAATCTCATTTCCTGTCCAGACTTTTTACTCTTTCATCTTCTGGTCATCTAGTTTCCACAGTAGCCTCTAACATTCCAGTCTTGGACTTATCTCTCAACTCCCTCTAAAACCAGTTTTTAAAGTATTTTTTTGTTTTGTAATGACTATGTTCTACTGTTTAAAACCAAGTCTGAGACAACCCATATCATCTCTTCAAAATCACCCCCTCATCATTTTCAAAGTATTTTTTTTGTAATGACCTTAAACTTCTGTTTAAACCAAGTCTTTGACTTCCCTTATAGCCTCTACCAATTCAGTCATAAAATTCCCTCCTTCAAGTTATTTTTCAGTTTATTTTTATCGACTATGATATTCTGTTAAACCAAGATTGTTATTTCCTATAGCCTCTAACAATCCAGTCTCAAACTTTTCCCCTGACAGTTTCTCCTAATATTGATAATGCCTCGAAGTCAGAAGAATAAAGCGGTTTGGAATTGAAAACAATCTGCCATTTCTTGATTCCTGAGATTCTGACAATGTTCTGGTAATTATTGGTCTGTTTTCTAACGGCCACAAGGCATCTCTCTAAACAAACACAAATCACAAATTACTCAAAACATCCAAATTAACCTTCTAGTCAAGATTTTATCTTCAAATTAGATTCGGTGACAAATTTTGATTCTAATTAAATAATTGGATGACTAAATAGGGGAAAATTAAAACAATATAGATGAATAGTGATATAAAAATTGCTAAATAACCATGATCAAATATCAAAATATTGCACCATGATCACTGTCAAATCATCACCCTAATCACTGTCAAATCATCACCATAATCACTGTCAAATCATCACCCTAATCACTGTCAAATCATCACCATAATCACTGTCAAATCATCACCCTAATCACTGACAAATCATCACCATAATCACTGTCAAATCATCACCATAATCACTGTCAAATCATCACCATAATCACTGTCAAATCATCACCATCACTGTCAAATCATCACCATAATCACTGTCAAATCATCACCATAATCACTGTCAAATCATCACCATAATCACTGTCAAATCATCACCATGATCACTGTCAAATCATCACCCTAATCACTGTCAAATCATCATTTTTAACCAATCAAAGCGTGTTGTGTATGTAACACCCATCTCCATGATATCATTTTTAACCAATCAAAGCGTGTTCTGTATGTAACACCTGTTTCTTGATAAAAAAGGAATTGTGGGATAGCTTAACTTAAAGTAGAGTAATATGACAGCCTCTTTAAGTTAAACTATCCCACAATTCTTTATTTTATCAATAACAAGCTTTGATTGGTTAAAAAAAACATCATTGGGACAGGCCTTGGGTGAAAATTTCTTAGATAACCAAGTAGATACAAAAAAGATACGAAATTGTAATTTAATTAACATTAGATTGTGTTCATCCAGACTACTGACGTCAAATTTTAAAACCATACATCAAGAGTTGTCCAGTCTTCCTCGAAACCGACATTATGAAGACTGTCCAGTCTTTCCTGAATCAGTCATTATAAAGATCATCCAGCCTTTCCTGAATCAGTCATTATAAAGATCATCCAGTCTTTCTTGAACCAGACATTATAAAGATCGTACAGTATTTATTACTAGCTTAATTAAGATTAGATCGAGGGAAGATATTACACTCTATCTAATTAAAAACGTCTCGTTAACGACCTTAATTAACCTTGAGGTCAGACCACTGTCATTGGCTATCAGTTGTCCGTCTGTCCATCCTGTTATAAGAGATTAGATTCCCATCTCCTGTCAGAAATTACTCTCAGATCATTTTATCATCTTAATGGTATACTGAATTGATATAGACCCACCTCATGGATTTTTACATCTTATTTTAAACTCCCAAATCATTTGATCATCTTTTATCTTAAAACTATTGTTTTATATTTAAACAAGAGCTATATACCCTATTCACCTCAACATGAACACAATATATTTTAATATATTAAAAAAATACTGGTGGATAAAACTGGTTCATAGCTTATTGGTTAATTTAGTCTATCTTGTTTCAACTAAACTATTTTTAAGCTTATTGGTGGTATATTGGTTGGACTAAATTATCTCTGAAGTCATTATTCAATATATTAGCTTAAAGTTATCAAGTTGATTATTACTATTATTATTATTATTATTAAGCTCCTGAGTTAAAAAACTAAAGAGAAATATATCACAATATACTGTCATGTAATGGATATACTGTCATGTAATGGATATACTGTCATGTAATGAATATACTGTCATGTAATGGATATACTGTCATGTAATGGATATACTGTCATGTAATGGATATACTGTCATGCAAAGGATATACTGTAATGGATATACTGTCATGTAATGGATATACTGTCATGTAATGGATATACTATCATGTAATGGATATACTGTCATGTAATGAATATACTGTCATGTAATGGATATACTGTCATGTAATGGATATACTGTCATGTAATGGATATACTGTCATGTAATGGATATACTGTCATGTAATGGATATACTGTCATGTAATGTATATACTGTCATATAATGGATATACTGTCATATGATGGATATACTGTCATGTAATGGATATACTGTCATGTCATGGATATACTGTCATGTAATACTGTCATGTAATGGATATACTGTCATGTCATGGATATACTGTCATGTCATGGGTATACTGTCATGTCATGGGTATACTGTCATGTCATGGATATACTGTCATTTAATGGATATACTGTCATGTAATGGATATACTGTCATGTAATGGATATACTGTCATGTAATGGATATACTGTCATGTAATGGATATACTGTCATGTCATGGGTATACTGTCATGTCATGGATATACTGTCATTTAATGGATATACTGTCATGTAATGGATATACTGTCATGTAATGGATATACTGTCATGTAATGGATATACTGTCATGTAATGGATATACTGTCACATATTGGATATACTGTCATGTCATGGGTATACTGTCATGTCATGGATATACTGTCATTTAATGGATATACTGTCATGTAATGGATATACTGTCATGTAATGGATATACTGTCATGTAATGGATATACTGTCATGTAATGGATATACTGTCACGTAATGGATAGACTGTCATGTAATGGAAATACTGTCATGTAATGGATATACTGTCATGTAATGGATATACTGTCACATAATGGATATACTGTCATGTAATGGATATACTGTCATGTAATGGATATACTGTCACGTAATGGATAGACTGTCATATAATGGATATACTGTCATGTAATGGATATACTGTCATGTAATGGATATACTGTCATGTAATGGATATACTGTCATGTAATAGATATACTGTCATGTAATAGATATATATTGTCATGAAACCTGGTAAGTCAAACTGATGAATATGTACACTTATGATCTTAATGATCAAGTTGGAGACTTTAAATTCTCTGTCTAATCTAAGAGGTAGTATACCTTAAATACAATCAGGTTTATTGAATAAATAGAATGAAGAACTTTATTATTATTTTATTAAAAGCATTTACAGGTTAAATATCAGATTCTTTTTATTAAAACAGTTTCCTCACAATTGTCTTTATTTCTGATTTTAATGATAATACCAGCCATTTACTTTTCAATCATCTTAACATTTCAAACTTTTATCACCTATTTAGACTTTCATTAATTCTGATTTCTATTTTTTTCTAATAAAATCTTGCCAGTGAATTGAAATAGTGTGTGAGATAACGAGGTGCTATAATTTAAATACTGTGTTTTATTGGAGTTATATTCTAGAGTTCATGTGGTCTTGTATTGAAATTGTTTGTATTACATTCAACTTCCATTTTAAAAATACTAAAAGTTTTCCAGTGAAAAATTTCGCCAGATCAATCTGAAGAAAAGAAGATCTTCTCACGTTTCTAATTATTTTTAGCTTTTTTTTAAAGAACTCATGAAGAACTCAAATTATTTGGTAGTAAATTAGTTTGAATTTGTGACTGTGTATTTCTTCATTTTTACATTTTGATTCTTATTTCTTCAAAATCCAATCAAAACTCTAGCTTCTAGTGTTCTGACAAGAAAAACAAAGTAAGTATTAACGACCCAAACAAGATATAAATATATGAAATAATGAAATAATCAGAATGAGTTTTGATAATAGTTTAGATGACTTCAAATAAAGAAAAGTGTCAAATAATAAAAAGGTCTTCATTTAAATATTCCTCCATTTTCTTAAATTATACTTGACAGTTCTACGGAAATAAAACACCTTAAAACAAAAAATACACTGAAACTTTCAACATCTAAAATATTAAGTTTTGTTCATTTTGACAGAACACGTAATGTATCAACACGATTTATAATTGGCTGGTCACAAGTTATTTATAGCTTGACGTGATGATGTGTAAAATATAATTATTTCTGTGTTTTTTCGTGTCGTTTCGTGTTGTATATCAACATAATAGAATTTGACACCTCGTTTTAAAACGAAAAGAAAAGAAATGGTGATTAAAGAAAAATAAATTGTGAGATATGTGGACTCTATGAATTGATGTATTGTTGTAGAAATACAATAAGTTTTCACCAAGGTTGTAAATTTTCTTATAAGATAAATCATACTCAATGACAATCATGTTTT